GAAGAAGAAACGCCTTTCTTGGGGTATTAATGTGCCTCTAAGGATAAATTCCTATATAATAACGATTTCTTACCATATAATAACACATCTGTCAAGTCAGCTTGAAATATTTAAATGATTGATGTTTGCACTTTATTCTATCAGCAAAAGTCATCTATTTAATCAGCTAAAGTAATCTATTTAATCAGCTAACGTCATCTATTTAATCAGCAAGTCAAATTTTGTTTGTCAAGTCAATTCCGTATGAAAACGTCTTTATGCCCAAATTTCTAAAACCGTAAAGATTGTCTTATTAGATTATATTTATTTGAACAATCTTCTTAAATGAGTTTGAATCGTCTGTAAAACAGGTCATAATTTTGTTTAAATAATTCATTAAATGTGATACTTACCTGATTAAATCATGCTTACACTGTATGATATGAAATGAAAGATCAACAAGGAAGTGCGACCTTCAGTAAACTTATCATATCGAGACTTTCTGGACAGCTTAACTGGCAGAGAAAGAGCTAATGTGCGAGCAGGGATCTTGGTAGAACCACAGACGTTCTGTAAGTTTGCATGATAGCGTCCTCACATAAATGACTCCGAAGTCTCTGATCAAATACGAACTTACTGAGGGGCAAGTAGTTCAAATTAAACGACATTTACTACTTGACCAGGGACTAGATCCTGGCGAAACTAAGAAATAGGTAATATAACAATAAGGATATTGTCCGAAAATAAGCAATATCTGTTCTCCGTAGGCTATTGTTCATTTTGATAAAATTATAATATCTCAACATATCTTATTTCCTCAGATGATAATTTCATCTAAATCAAATTTTGATACTTGTATAGTAATAAATTATAACGTTTAGTGATGGTTAAATTTATCCTCCCTTCTGTCGAGATTGAACACGTCATGCTCTCTTATATAGAAAGCTTGATAAATCAGTACATAAAAGGATACAGATACGTGTCACGTATAAGATATAAAGGTGTATAATATACATTGTGCTTTAGTACCAAAGCAAAGTTAGAAGATGAAGACTGAAAAATGCGTTGTTTAATCAGTTATTATGTAAAAGATATCACGCTTTTTTTTAAAATTAACCTTGCATATACTGATTAATTTTCATCTGTACAGAAATTCTCAAACTAATTAACTTTTATAGCATTGCACCAATAGACGAAGCATATCTTGACAATTTATTGCGGAAACTTAATCAAATATTTAATCATATTAGTGCATGACATTTTTAGACATGAGAGAAACTGTCTAAAAGTAAAAGCAATGCAGTTAAGGTGTGTTTCTGTAATACAATTCTACTGTTCTTCTTAATAGGACATTTCATTTTTTTTCTTTTTCTTTCAACTTTATATGGGTTATCTTTAATTCCGTATCATCATTTGATTAAAAATACCCCCTGTATAACCATACGATAACCTTCTTAATTAAAAAGAACAGTGATTACAGTCATCAGAATATATACAGAAATAGATAAATATGAAATAGGGAAAAAGAGCTGCGACAGTTTAAAGGCCCATTATGCCTAAGAAATGCTATCAATTTTATTTCTCAAAAAGTATCTTGATACAGTTTCAAAAAAATACATATTAGCCATATTCATGAATTTTGTCCTGCTACTTTTGCTTTGTTGGCAACTGGTGTAATTATAGTGAATCATTATTTTGTATGGAAGTCAAAATACTACTATGTTTACCTTACCTTGCTGCCTTAACGACACGATCCCTTACATTCAGCGCTACAATAATCTGTTGGTAAACATTAAATATGTTCTTCAATCATTAAATTAAAACATAACTAAACACATGTTTGATATTTCTAAAGAATTAAAAAAAATATGAATTTCTGAGGCATAATGTGCCTGATCAGAAAACAATTACGTTGATTGCGGGCTGATATTGGTAAAATAACGAAAAGATGACAATGTCAAAGTATATAAAGGGATATGAAATGTTTTGCAGCATAATTAGATTTTAAACTATTTCTTGTCGTCTGTTATCTTTAAACTGATTTAATTTGTATTGATCGTCAGTTCAAACTCGTGTTGCTGTTTATATCAACACCTACACCAATGCTTTAACTCGAACTTTCTAGAAAATTCAGGATCTGTTCACACCAATCATATTAGTGAGACAATTTCTTATCTTCTTTCAAGATAAATGTTTGATGATGTCACAGGTTCATATACGTAGTACGGTACATGTTTATATGTGTTATTGTTTGTCCTATTAAATGTCCTATAGCTTTAATTTTCATCATACTTTTCATTCATCCCCATATTGATACTAACCACCATTACGGGCCTCTCTATCTAACTTTCTACTTCATTGATTCACTACACTACGCATGCGCACTATTTTGTAAGATTTTGATGGCGAGAGCCGCGATTTTCGAATGCTAATAAAATTATTTGAAAGCGCATAATTTGTGTATTTACAGGTAAACTGGTAGATTGTTTTGATGCTCTGATTCATTCTTTCCATTTTGTCATTCATCATTTTCATTGATATTTTGTATTTTGCACTATTTTGTAAGATTTTGATGGCGAGAGCCGCGATTTTCGAATGCTAATAAAATTATTTGAAAGCGCATAATTTGTGTATTTACAGACCCTCTGTCCAGGTCCCAAGTACTTTAACCCACAGCGTCCATCAGAAACCCCCTTATCTTTTGGACTGCGACAATTGGCGCCCAACGGGGGACTTGGGCTGCCACAACGCTGGAGTAACTTTTGGGTCGATAGTTCCGGGGACGAACGTTGAGCGATGATCAGTCAGCCATATTTGTTTGTACATGTATACGCATATTGGAATGCAGGATGTAAACAATGGTGGAATGTATAAGTTTTATCTTATTTCAACGTCAGTTAACCATCGGCAGTGATTTATTGTGATATTCTGAAATGAATTAGACCAGATATTTGTGTGCACAATTGTTTTATTGTAAATTATTAGCTAGCAACTTGATCGATTTCTACTTTCGTTTTCTAATTGGTACCATATTTCGCGAATGACAACACGGATGACATTTTCTATTGGAACATTTAATTATTCATAGAAGAGTGATACATTTTAGGATTTGGAACTGTTTTAGTCTGCTTCAGTGAATTTGAGTGTTATTGATATATAAAATAGGACTTGTAATTTAAATAGATTTTATTGACTATATTGTATATTGTACATGTCATGTTATTTTTCTATTTTTGTGATTCTCAATATTTTATTTAAATTTCAGATTTGTCATTGAACTGTTGTGAAATTGTGTCAGTGGTCACCTTGCAGAATCACAGTTGAAGGGTTGTTCATCTTGGCAGAAGGATCTTAGCATGTTTTCTGTAACAGTACTTTTCTGGTGATTGGTGAGAATCTTACTAACATTTCCCATCATAAGCCCTTAATATTATAGCTTTTCCTTACATAAAGACCTCTCCCATTTCCAATATGCATATATTTGCCCTTCCTTGATGTACCTGTCTCTATTTGGATAATATAGCATATATATTTATGTTATATTATGGTGATGTGTTTGGAAGCCAGCTTGGAACAGATATTTATTAGAAACCTTGAACATGTATAGTTTGTCAGTGGTACTGGTAAGTTATGGTAGTTTAAAGTGTAGTCTTCAACTGATCATGTTGTGAGTACATTTAGTAAGAGTGCCTTTGATGGTAAAGGAACTATATTGCTTCTCTTGACATCAAGACAGATTGTTGATATTTCTCTTTTGTTACATTGAATGTGACTCAAGTGAAATTTTATGCCTTGAAGAATGTGACTTCTATATATTTGTTTACAGGTCAATAGATGTATACACTTTTGATATATGCACTGCTGTAACTGTATGCTGTTAGTGTATATTGGAGAAAAGTAAACTTAACTTAGCACATTCAGATTTATAAAAAATTTGTCTGTTGCTGTATATTTTAGAGAAATACAATTTTGTTGTTTGTTTTATTCAAAATCTGACATCACGTTCAGATATTAGTATCTAAAGTAACATCCCTGTGGTGAATTACTTTAGTAACTATATATACAAACAATTTATTCCAACTGTGCTGACTGGCATTTGATGAAAGATAGTGTACAGTGTACTTCACTAGATAAGAGAGTGTAAGGTGTTTTTGAATGAATTGCAACATGTACATTTACCATTGATCTTTTAAATAAAAGTATGGTGTCCAATTGGTGACATATTTCATAAATTTGGAATTATTTCGCAGAATAGAATTAATTCAGAGTTTGCCATATTGAAGTACATTTAAGCTTACTAAAGTTGAGTGTATTTTGATAAGTGCATATATTTACATTTTATATGGTGCAGTGAAAGGAACATAATTGTAATATTTTATTTTGAGTGTAGAAATTACATAAATATAGACATGCTATGACTATGTGATCAATAAAAGAGTACTTATAGTACATACCATATTTGATCTACTTGATTTTACTAGTTTGAAGTGATTTGTTTGGTGTTTAATTTGTGTATGCAGAGATGGATTCTACTCATACTCTTACACACATTAGGGAAGAGGAGTTAGAGTATTATATTGAACAGATTGAGCGTTCTGGTAGATATGCTGTAAATCCTATTACTTCTTGTACTGTTAACCCTGTCTCTACTAGCACTCCTGTTCCCCCTCCATTAGATTTTACAAGGGATGCTACTCATACACCAATTAGAGAGTACAACAACAGACATTCAGGAGCAGGCATACATCCTCAAATGGATAATATTTGTCCACCTGCACGCCCTCCCCCACCTAATCCTTATACTTTGTATCCACCTTCTTACTTGGATACTTCTTTGTCTGTAAGTCATTCTCGTATTCCTAAACTACCTCAGTTTTCAGGTGAGAGTAGGCCTGGTGATTGTGAGTTCGAGGTCTGGAAATATGACTTGCATTGTTTGTTAAGAGGTAGATTGTATCCAGACCATATTCTTCATGAAGCTATTCGTACTAGTTTGAAAGGGAAAGCACGAACTGTTCTCTTGCATTTGGGCGAATGGGCTACTATTTCAGATGTTATAGTTTTGGAGAGCTGAATTGGAAGCTATTTATGGTTTTTAAACATAAATTTGGGTTTTAACTTAAAACACTCTTTTTAAAATTTCTTTTGTTAATTCCCTTTAAACCCGGGTTTTTCATTAAAAATTTTCTTTTTTTGAATTTTTACATCAATTTTGGGTTTAAATTTTTAACATAGAAACCCCCCACGCATTTTTTTTTTGGGATGAATTTTTTGTAAAAGATTTCTATAAATAATATTTAAATCGTAATAACAGTTACCCCAAGCCTTTCTTACCATTTTTCCTTCATTATTCAATGCAATAAGATAAACTGAGTGTGTTTCTATTATTCTGTAACACGCTAAGATAATAAAATGTTTTTTTTAAAATTGGACACAGTAACGTTATACAACATTTACTATAATATATTTACAAAAGTGATGAGAAATCAATATTGGTATGGATCATATAAAATATGAAGTGTTTAACTTAGTTATTCTTTGCTAAATGGGAAAAAGAAAAAAGAACAATAGCTCCCCCCCCCCCCCCAGGATTCGGGCAACGACACAAAACGATCAACAATGGCTAGTGGGTCTCCAACCAGGTAACAACCATTAATTTCCGTTTTCAAGCCACCGAATGGGCAATGTAAACTACGGATTTAGTAGCCCACATTCAAGTCAAAACATGTTATATCACTCAACACAGTCTCAGCAGATGTCCTTTTGCAAGCAATTGAATCAGGCCCACACCAGTATAGCCAAATTAATATAAATTGCCTCAACAAATAGTCACCCAAATACGGTGACTATTGTATCATTTTTCTCGTTATTACAAAGGCTGAATAATATTGACAAAAAACTGTCCCACACATTAATTCTATTCAAAACGACGATAGAAAAAATTACCGTTCATTTGGACAACTTAGATCAAAAGTTTATCGCCTTGACAACAAAAGAATGTCAATATATCGAAGCAAAGTTTGGGCTTTTTGAATCGAAACGTGTTTATTTGCCAGAAAAAAAGGAACTAGAATGATTTTAACATTTAAAATGAAAAAGGCTTGAAAAAAGCAACAAAAATGAAAAAGAGAAGAGAAATGCAAGAATATTCAAGATATAAAAAGCAGAAATGAGAGGGTAATTGGGTTTTTTTACGGGATTTCCCGGAAAAGAAAGGGAAACAAATTCAAGTGTATAGACAAAAGGGCCGGGGGTAATAGAGTATAAAAGAAAATTACAGAAAGAAAAGATAATATTAAAAAGCCCCTAGAAAAGGCCCCAAAAATAGGGCGGGCAAAAAGCGACCCAAGTCGCAAAATTTGCCCTTTTTCCCCCCAAGGAAAAAAGTAAAGGCCCAAAAATCAAAATCAAAATTTAAAAAAACCCTAAAGGGGGGGTGAACAAAACAAAGAAAAGGGCTTGGAAAAAAGGAGACGACTTAATTCCCATCATGGTAAAGGCCAGGGAAGAAAACAAGGAAGCATTTCTGAGGAGAGACAAATTATACATAGATGGCATGCTGTACAGAGGAGAGAATGCGCCGGTCAAGAAATAGGATAATAGCGAGAGTGTCTTTTTTGGAACATTGAAGGTTTAACGAATGATAAGCGATCAAGTAGTGATTTTAGTACCTTTATTGGAAATTATGACTTGATATTTTTAAATGAGACTTGGTCTAATAAAAATACTGTTCTTGATCTAAATGGATATAAATTATATAATTCATATCGTAAATACCAAAAAAAAAAGAGACAATAGTGTAATGTAGTGCAGTGTAGTGTAGTATTGTATGGTCTAGTGTAGTTCTGTAGGTAGCCGACAATTAATAAATTTAACTTATTTTTCGCAAAATTGAACAATATATGAAAGAAAAGAAGGTTATCGGGTAGATATACATGTTAGTTTTAAATTATATATATTCACCAAGATAATCTGTGTAATATATTGTTTTATTGGCCATTCTTTCTGCTTTTGTTTCTAAAATGATGTTTATCGATATCTGACGTAAATACGCAAGGTTTAAGGAAACGGAAATGCATGTTTAGCAATAATTGTATTCAATGTTTGAATTATTTAAATTGATTTAAACAACACAATAGTACAACACGTTGCTAAACAGATTATGTATCTAATGGACTATAGTGTGTACATATTTCTGAACAAACGAAATAAATGATGTTTGACGTTATACAATTGCAGCTTTAACGGAAAAATTAGAAATAAAATAATTGTTAATACAAAGACATACATTTATGTCTGCTGTATATTAGTAGTTATTCAAAGAAATTCTTTATTGTTATTTGAAAACTTGGAGATAATTGCTAATTTGTATGTGGTGTTAATTCGCCGTTCTGCTTCATATCTACGAAAGACATAATTATTGTCCTGTCTTTAATATATATTCAATCTTTATTTTAGTCTCATCAATGTACATACATACAACAATATACATAGAACACATATAACATGATTTAAAAAGTACATTGCCACTCATATATTGAGTTATAAGAGACTTTAGTACAATTCAAGTCCGAATTTAAAAAGAACTTACGTAATACTGGCTATATAATACTATAATGCATGCTTATAATCGTTTAAAGCTAAGAAAGCACCGCTAATCGTTAAAATAAAAACATTAAATATCACGACGATAAAAAAACTGAAATGTAAAAAAAGGCACTATTGGCAAGTTCAAAAAAAATTGTTAAAGAAAATCAGTATCCCAAACCCCTGATCAGGATTGGGGAAAGAAAGATTTGCATCTACTTCCTAGGAGAAGTTAAAAGAAAATAGAAAATCAAAAATTAAAAAAAAATTTCATTTTTTTACACAAATAAAAATTGTCCTCCTATTTTTAAAATATCATTTCAGGGGTTTTTGGGACAAAATTTAAAAAGTGAAATAAATTTTAAAAAACAAAATTCAAACCCTTTCAATATCCGCTATTTGTGAATTTGGTTTTAAAAAAAGAAGGGAAAATTTTTTGGGATTTTAACAAAGGGGGAAAACGAAAAAAAGAAGTTTTCAATTGCTTTTACAAAAAAGGGCAAAAGATTTTCCCATAATTTAAAATTTTTGAATCTTCCCGTTTAAAATTTGAAAAGGCGCTACCCCACAGGGCGAAAATTTTCAGTAGTGCGGGGCGATTTCGGGGAGGGATAACAAAATTACAAAGGGGGGGCTGTGGGAAATTTTTTTATTATATTTAAAAAAATTTCTAAAACTTTTACCCACTCTACCAGTAACACTCGGGTCCTATTTGGGTAGTTTCAAAGGGCCCTTCAGCAAAAAAACGGCCCTAATAGATTTTATACCTTCAAAAATGTTTGGGGGGTTTAGAAACATTTACATTTACATCAGAACAGTTGACCCCAAAATTAAAAAATTTATTTTTTTTGCTTTTCACAGAAAAAAACCATTTTTTTCATATGTAAACCCGCTTTATCACTTGGGCCCCAAAATGCAATTCGCTATTAATACCCAAATTTGAACGGGTGTTACAAAAACAGGCCCCAAAAAAAGTATATTTTCCATTTTGGGGAACAAAGGGGGGCCCGGCCAAGCCCTTTCTCCTGCCCAAGGATAGGGGTTTTATTTGCCCGGAAGCCTAGGAAATACCTTTATTGGGTCTATTCTGAACAGCATTTTATACAAGGAAAAAGACGACAGCCCCACAAATGCCCGCACCCTAACTTATTTTCAGGCCAAACTAAAGAGTCGTATAAAATTAAATAAATACATTAAAAGGGACTCCCTATTAATTTTAAAAATTTGCCAAATTTCCAAACCCAAAAGCAAAGGCCTTTTACTTTTTAGCCAATTTTCCCTTTGGTGTTACATTAAAGATCGAGGTGTTCGGTCAAAACTATACCCAAGTATGTATATCTATCAACAATATCAAAGAGTTTCATTACCACATTTGAAAACAAAAAATCAACCTTTTTGTACAGAGGGTGGTCTAAAGTGAACAATATTACTTTTTGTAACAATTAATTTGCATATCGTTAACATTGCAAAACCATTCACTCAAAGCATTTAGCAAAACTTGCAAATCATGTTTATTTCAGCTACAGAACAATATCATCTGCAATATAACAAAATGCTTATAATTTCACTTTCTATAGACACACCAATATTCAAAGACTTAAGATACACAGCAAGGTCATTATAATGTGACAGATTGAACAGCAGAGGGGACAGGGTGCAGCCTTGTCTTAAGCCAGAATGTACACTGAACAGTCAGTTTTATAATAATTTACACGAACACATGACTGAGACATTAGAAATAAGTGATCTTACGGCTGTTAACATTTTCCTGATATACCACTATTCATGGAAGTTTTTCCATAACTTATTTCCTATTAATATTGTCACTATTAGCTTTTCTAAAGTCGATAAATGCACAAAATGTTGAATTTGCTTTTAGGCTTTTTCCTAAGTATCTAATTTAGATTACTCAATGAAGAAAATTTTGAATCAAAAGTTGTGCGTTTCTTCTAAAACCCATTTTGCTCGTCATCCCAGTTTTTCATTTGCTTCAGCCCAGGGTACTAAGACCGATCATTAAGAACCGAAACAATATATTAAGTATACTGCAGGGATGCTAAAGAATACCTCTATATGAAAGAGGATCTCTAGGGTCCGCAGAAGAAACTTGGGAATTGGGTTAATTAATACCTTTCCCAAATATACCAGGAACAACTCCGCTGTCAAAAATAACATTAAATAATACATGAAGAAAATACACTGTCGTATCATTTTTCAAAAAACTCGGTCGGGATATTTATTTCAAAGCCCCACAAGCTTTCCTATTTTTGATAGAAAAAGGGCCTTTTTTTACCTTTAAAAATTTATATTTTGTTAAATTTAAAAAAAAATTATCCCGAAGAATCAGGGGGCTTGCAAAAAATCTAAAAAGGGGGGAGTGGGAATCATACTCTTTAAAAAGAGAACTATAAACCGTTTTCCCTTTTTGGGAAACATTTTGTGACAGTAGAACCCATTTTATCAGTTTTCCAAATACTTCCAAATTGG